TCAACTTTTCTGAGTTTCCAGCTTGCCAGTCTGACTTACGGGTTTGACCTTGCCAGCTCCCACAATTGCATGAGCTCTTCCTTAAAAATCAATCTCCGTCTATATTTATAGATATAGATACAAGTTCTATTTCCTTGGAGAACACTATCTACTACAGATTTGGCTTCTGCGATGTGAGATGCTGCAGCAACAAATGCTTACAAATCTAGAAATGGCTTTGGAGTTGGGTGATGGGTACAGACTAGAGTTCTAACGAATATGGCAGAAAAAGCCCAGATTGCCTTGAAGAGATTTGGTACAAATACAGACACCAAAGGGTATCTGGAGAGAGCTCACCAAGGAAAGAGGAGAGCTATAAAAAGCTTCCATTGTCCTAGAGCATACATATATTGTCGTGAACAGAACGTTGCTGAAAGTATGTTAAAGGTGTTTCTGGTGTGGTATCAGACAAAAAAGAGGAACGTGTTACTGGAAACTGGAGGAAAGGTGACCCTAGTTATAAAGCACAGAGGACCTGACTGAACTGTGTTCTGCTGGATGGAAGGTGGAACTTGGGTATTTAGCTGAGGAGACTTCTAAGCCAAGTGTTGAGGGCATGGCCTGGTTTCTCCTTGCTGTTTACAGTAAAAGGTGAGAGGAGGGTAAACTGAGAGAACTGTTAGGCAAAAAGGAACCAGTACTTGAAGATTAGGAAATTTTCAGCTTATCCATATTGTAAACAATGAGAAAGCATGCTCTGGAGAGAACACCAAGGGTGTGGCTGGACAACCGTTTGTAAAGAAACTGGGCTGTGTCTTATGGATCCAATCAACCATTTCAGCATAAATGCCAACAACTTGGACTGACATCTGTCAGACAGAGATGGGACAGAATGAAGAAAGGCTGCCAGACTTCTGGGATTCTACAGGCAGGAAAAGGGCAAGAGAGCTATCAGGAAAAGGAGAATGACCCCAAGGGTGGATCCACCTCCTTAATTTCAGAAGTGGGGCAACTTCTTGGTTTTACAGGGCAAAGCCCCACCCAGGGCTGAGGGGCCACCACCCTGGTCAGCCCAAAGGACAGAGCATCTAGCCAAAGACGGTTACCCTCATGCATTAAAATCTAATAGTTTTGGACTTGTTTGGAACTCATGATCTCTTTCTTTCTTCCCTTTTACAATGGGAATGTCTATCCTGTATCTGTCCCACTGTTACATATGTGAAGCAGATAACCTGTATGGTTTTACAGGTTCACAACTAGAGAAAAATTCTGCCCCAGGATGAGTTTATCCGAGTTTTACACATACCTGATTTAGATGACATTTAAGATGAGATTTTGAACTTAAGAGTTGATGCTAGAATGGGTTAAGATATTGAGGGTTTGGATGAAGTGAATTTATTTTGCATGTGGGAGGATATGAATTTTTGGTATCAGAGAGTAGACTGTTATGGGTTTAATTGCACCCCCCAAATGCATATGTTGAAGTTCCAACCTCCCAGTACCTCAGAATGTGATTGCTATAGACTGAACTGTGTCCCCCATAAAGTCAGATGTTGAAGTTCCAGCCTCCAACATGATGGTATTAGGAAGCAGAGCCTTTGGGAGACAATGAGGGTTGGGTGAGGTCAGGAGGATGGGGCCCTCATGATGGGACGAGTGCCCTTATATGGACACCAGAGAGCACGTGTGCATGTGCTCGTGCTCCCTCTGCCATCAGTGGGGCAGCAGAAAAGTGGCCATCTTCAAACCAGAAAGAGAGCCCTCACCACTGCCTGACCATTTGCTCTCTGGTGGCAGACTCCAGCCTTCAGCACTGAGAAAAGAAAATTGTTTATGCCACTCAGTAGATGGCAATTTGTTACGGCTGCCTGAGCAGAGTCACACAATGACCTTGTGTGGAAAGAGGACCACTGCAGATATTACTTAGTTAAGTTAGGATGCGGTCATTAGGGTGGGCCTGAATGTAGAGTCACCGGTGTCCTTATAAAAAGGGTAAACTTGTACACAGAGACAGACATACACAGAGGGAAGACGATGCGACGAGATGAAGGGAGAAGATGGCATCTATAAGACAAAGAGGGGCCTGCAGAGAGAGGGCCCTTCCCTTCACGGTCCTCAGAAGGAACCAATCCTGCCAACGTTTTGATTTCAGACCTCCAGCCTTCAGAGCTCTGAGACAATACATTTCTGCCGTTTAACTCATCCAGTTTTGCGGTATTTTGTTGCACCATCCCTAGCAAATGAATACAATACCTCTGGGAAAACCTTGGGTAGCCTGATTTGCTATTAGGAAATACAGAATTTGCGAGAATCAGACATGCGTGGGAAAAGCCAAACACATGTTGTCATGCTAATAAATAATCCTCTAAGTTGATGTTCTCCATTTAATAAATGAACAATAAGGTTTGAGAATGAAAGTTTGTTATGCCTGTATCAAAATCCATGAATATTCTTGCCATGCTTCTCTGCTATAGATATTTGAAGGTTTGGGTATTTATTGCTTATTCAAAGTGCTGTAATTTCTCTTTACTTCACTCTGTATTAAAATTGGGTTGGAACTAACACATGTATGGGACTTGGTATTTTGGAAGAATATTCAATATGTTCCTTTAAAATAATGCCAGATGTCCACATTAATTTGGATATTGGCTGATACAACATATTACTTTAAGACAAACAATGCAAATTGAATATATTACAAAACTTAAAAATAATATTACCAAGATGTTTTACATTTATGATATTAAAAATATTGATTTTATTCTTAGCAATAAACTCCTGAGATTCAAGTATTTGGTTTTTGGTTACAAGAGAAAGTATTTCAAAGATCATGAGAGAAACTGAAGTTAATGCTTTTAATTCAATCTCCATAGCAACATGGGAAGGAGCAAAATCTGGGGACCAAATGAAAGCCACACACTCTCAGTTGCAAACCCTACCATTAACTCGCTGCGGAAAGCCATGTTTATGTCTCGCTGGCATATCATTGCTATAAACATAGGTATTCCTGGCTTTCTTCAGCAAAAGGACACAGCCACGCCCTGTGTCCTTGATATATACATTTTATTATACTAATACTATTACATTTATGTTCTGAAACAATATCAGATTATTCACACGGAATAATTTCTAGGTTATAGCATAGAAATAAATAGCAATAAGTGGAATGTGCAAATACTGAATAAGTCCCCCAAATTTCATATAAAGATAACACAAAAATGACTCATTTAAGGATCTACCTTATTTTCACAAATTAATTACCATGGTCAAAAGAAACTTTATCTTTTTGAACAGGTATTGAGAATTTTGTCAGCTACTAACACAGCCTCCGGGCCATACCGAATTTTTCACTTTCGTATTTTCAGTAAGAAAATGTCTTCTATAGGAAATCATACAATAACAATGTGTAAGGGATTTACTCTAGTTTAATGACTTAGTTAGGATTTCCTATGATTTTATCTTAGTAATGTGAAGATCATTTGCTAAAAATATACACACAAAAAGAAATTTTAAAAGTCTCTGAGCTATAAAAATAGATAATATCTATTATTTATTTAGTATTTATTACATGCCAGGCACCATCCTGGACTCTACATGAATGATCTCACTTAATCCTCACAATGGCCTTACTACGTAGCTATTACTATTATGCTCATTTTATTGAGGAAAGATTGAGCTCAGAGATATTAAGTAATTTTCCCAAGGTTTCCCATTGGAGGACTCAGAACCACAGCTTGTGGGCTTGACTGCTCTGAGTTACTGCTCCTCATAAAGGTGTCCTTTTCATTTGTTAATTTTATTCATGTTCTAATAACTCAGACATGGACTCGGTAATTTAACTCCAGTTTAAGTGGAGTTCAACTAAATTCGGTGAGCTGACCACCTAAGATCAGGAGCAAATTAGAAAGGTTTGGAGGAGGGCATCTGTAAAGCAGGCACAGTAAAGCAGGAAACTAAAAATACAGCAAGTTGAAACAGGAACTGAAAGTATAACAAAATAGGATTCTTCAGGGTGAGAACAAGATAAGCGCGGTTTTGGGAGGGAGTGAAAGAAAGATGGAGAAGGTAACTACCATTTGCCGGACCCTGCTATGTGCCAGGTGTTTGCCTGCATCATCTGCTAGTGCTCAGATGGCCCTGCCCAGCAGGCAGCTCTACCCCACTGCAAGGCTCAGAGAGGTGCAGCACCCTGCCCACACCTGCTCTCATTCTGTAAAGATGATTATAAAGTAAATGCTTCTTGGCATAGAATAGGGGTAACAAGTTATCTGGAAAATTTACTAACCTTAAATACCACATTTGATGGATAAGTGAGGTACTACAGCACTTTTTAAGTTTGAGAAAAGCAAACTTAGAAAATCCTAAATGTAGAAAGTCTGTAAGTTAAGGTTGTGCTTATGGGGGATTTTTCATTTGATGTCCTATTTTTAATAATCTGGTATTCTTTATTTGAACTACCAGTATGGGGGTTTTTATTTAGTGAACATTCTTAGCAAATTTGAGGCACTGTGCCAAGACACAGAGAATGGCAGGAGAATGCCATTTGGAAGGAAGGATTAGAAATTCAAGACAGACACACACACACACACACACACACACACACACACACACACACACACTGTTCAGCCACACACTTCCAGTTAGCAATGCCAAATAAATAGACGGGCTGGGCTGGTTCCATTATATAACAAGTACTTTGTTCTTACATTCCTTGTTGCCTAAAGACTATTGTGAATAGGGGACTAGCAGGAAAACACTCCTACAACGATACAACGACTAAGCTTCTCTAAATAATATATACAGTGAAATTGTTCTGTATACGACCAAAACAGAAATAAAGGGAAGTCTAGTTTTCTTGTGATGCTGCAAACGTGCATCTGTTTCATTTAGCTGTACTCAGGAAGTACTCCATGCCCCTTAAAGCTGCTGACGTAACAATACTCCATGCATGCCCCCCACTCCCCACACTCCCACCCCTTACCCAGGTATATAAGCCCTGGTGCCCACTTAGGCATGATTACCCCTGGTGCAGCCCTGCCATCGGTGTCCCTCTCAAGGGAAAGAGCTTGGGGTAGACGATTGTAAACATGGGCTCACTACAGCGGTGACAGTGCCCCAGGGGGAAGTGCAGCAGCTCCAGGAGACTTCTGGGTAATGACACTGGAGACAGAAAGTTCAAATCTGGAACATAAGACAAAATCATGCACAAATAAAAAATCAGATTTCCTTAAACTGGGTTTCTTATAGTATTTCTCTTTTTTACCAAGTCAGTTCAGTTAAAAGTACTGTATGTTGAAAATTCCATTATCTGATAGGCACTGAATAACAACAAAACATTATTTGGAAATGAAAGATGTTTCCTACATTTTTGACACTAAGAGAAAACCTAAATCTATTATTTTAGAGCAATCAGAAGCTGTCCTGAGGTAAAGGAAAGAATAAGACCAAGTACTCTTTAAGAACAAAATAAAAAAGGCACTGATTTGCTTAAACAGGGTTTGTAAACTTCTTTAAGAGACAGAATTTAAAAAGGACTGGGAATGAAGACTGAAACTGACTTTCATTAAGTTCTTCCTAAATCAACGGGGCATTTAGTAGCAATCAGGTAAATTATATTTATGGAAAGGAATTAAAAGGGGAAACAAAGAAATCAGAAAATGAAAAATAATGAAACAAAGCTTTTCTTTGTCTCACTCCCATGAGCTGTCATTAATAAAAACAGGGTGACTCCTTGCCTGCTTACTCTGAGCTACACAAATCAAACATCCCAGTGGCCCAGGCCATCTTGAGCACAAATGTATGCTGGGTTCTTATTGATGGTAAACATCCAGTAGAGAGAGGGAGATGGTCATAATGAGGTGAAACCTAAAAATCACTGACTAATCTTTGAGAAGGAAAACAAACAATGTTATCTTTTATATCTGTCTAGACTTTTCAATAATGATTTAGGAGATGTAATTTACTCGTAGGTGAATAATTATCATTTTCTGTTTAGTTTAAAAAAACAACTCCATACTAGACATTCCTGGAAGGTTAATGTTCAATGTTTTTCTACGGACCTTTTTCTTTTTTTTAGGTGAAGACAAAACACTTAGCAGTTTTAAAAACACTAGAAATTTTTTTTTTCAATATTGCCTAGTGCTTTCTTAAAGCATCTCAGATATCCATTCCACAATACCTATGAAATCTACACACTGCCAAATTCTTTCAAACCAAGAGTTGGCATGCTGTGCTAACAGGACTGCCAAAGGCACCCGATATCTTTTTCCCTTTAGGTATATACATTTCTCAGACGTGAGCAAAGCAAAAACCTGCTCTGCTGGAAGAGGTACCCAACTTTGTTTTAAGGACAAAAGATCTTTGGGAATTTTTTTCTACTGAAGAAAGTGCCTCTGCCAGCCTTCTCACTTCCACCAAATATGCATTCCCAAACACAACATCCTTCTTTTAAACCATGTAATTCAACTTGTTTTGAATTTCCGTCCTTTGTGACCAAAGACCATATTTTAGTGAATGCTTGCCTGTGTCTACAGGTGTTGCTGAAGGGATCAATGATGATAAAATAAAACTTTTTTTCTTATTAAAAAAATCCCATTGTACAAAAATGTGCATGTATTCAATGCCACTGAACTGAACACTTAAAAATAGTTACAATGGTAAATTTGATGTCATAGATATTTTACCACACACATAAAAGAACACGAAGATAGGCAACATAAAACATGATTTCTAAGTTCACTAAATAAAAGGCAGAACAAAGAAAAGTCCCAAGTACCCTTTAGAAAACGGTGATAGGCGTGATGCAGCCTCCTCATGGCCAGCTCTTGCAGAGGCAGGACGTGATCACTCTCGGTCCCCACGGCCTTCACCTCAGCAGGGAGGAAAACGGTTAGTTGCCCTGATGAAAAGGAAAGCGGCGTCGCCTCGGGAACTGGAATGGGAGCACCACAGCTGCAGAAAGACATGCATTCACAGGAGTATTAGCAAAAGGGAAGCAAATACACATGCCAGTAACACGTGTTAATCAAAATATACATTAAAAATTTTAAGACACTGCTGAACTGCCAGAATTCTTTTCAAAGTGAACACATGCTATTCTGGGTTCCTTAATAAAACCTGGCACAGAAATCTAAACTCATCAGCTGGAACTCAGCTAAATCATTGCTGAGGTCCAATTACTTTCAGTAAGAACACACTTTGAAGGAACTTTCCTTCTACACAATTTGCTTTGTAAACTCTACTTAACCTCATTTTATTACCCTTTCTAAACTGATGTTCACTGAAATTTTCAAAATTAAAAGGAAAAACAAGTACTCTGTTAAGTTATGGTACCTTGGTTTAACAGACTTTTTGTGTGGGAAAAATCCCAACCAAGCAAACAGATTTTTAATGGTAGAAGATAACTTTATTGGATCCTTCCATAAACTTGTGGGGAAAATATTCTTGGCAAACCTCTTGAATAAGCCAAGTCATGGATTCCCTGCATCCTCTCGTCACAGAAGGTGGAGATGTCCTTGCTCCTTGGCGGCAGGGTTGCAAAACCCTTCGAGCCTCATCCCACGCCCCCACCTGTCTGAGACCACGAGGTTACCTAAAAGTTTCAATGCTTTCCTTCTCTAATGACAAACCATGCCAACAAACCTTGGCCCTCCAACACACAGGAGATAATCTCTCTATTCTCAGCTAGAAATGGCAATGAGGGGAAGGGCACAGGACTGGCAGGCAGAAGCCCTTGGATCATTTGTTCATTAGAAGTTCCTTCATTGCTTATTCCTCCCACCAGAAAATGTTTCCAGAGCACCTACTATATGCCAGTCAGTCAAGATACTTAAATTTAAAAAAAGTCAAGATGACCCCTTCCCTTGGAAAATGTAATAATTACAATAAACTGTTGTAATGTTGGGTCAGAGAAGACAGGATAACTGACTCTGTCCAGGAATTAGGAAAGGCTTTAGAGGGAACAATATCTGACCTAGAATTCAAGTGTAATAATTATGATAAATTGTTGTAATGTTGGGTCAGAGAAGACAGTGACCGACTGTCCAGGAATTAGGAAAGGTTTTACAGAGGGAACAATATCTGACCTAGAATTCAACTGATTTCACTCAACCATTCTCCACATGGCTCAAAACAACAATAACAACATGTTTTTTTGTGTATTATTTGATACATATGAGCATACAATTCTGTTAGGTACATATGTAAGATTGGAACTGGGCTTATGATAGTGAGGAGAATCAGACAATAAAGAGCTAAATATATAATTAAATAGAGTGAGAGGGAGTGAGAGCTGTACTACTTTAGATTGCCTAATCAAGGAAGGCCTTTCCGAGGTGGTGACATTTGAGCAGAGACTTGACTGACAAGAACAGCTGACTCTGGGAAGAGGAACTCAGCCACAGCCTGGTAAATATGACTGTGTAAGTAGAAAGTCCAACAGAAGCTATGAAGAGCCTACTGGAACTAATAGTAAGTGAGCTTATCAAGTTCAGAGGATACAAGATAAATATACAAAATTATTTGTACTTCTATGTGGTAGGAACAATCAACTGGAAATTGAACAAACTTTACTATATACAATGTTATGAAAAATATGAAACATGGACAAATTTGACAAAAGATTGCAAAGATCTGTACACTAAAGACTATAAAATATTGCTGAGAAATGAAGACACTTATTGGGATCATGGATTAGAAGGCTCAATATTTTAAGATGTTAATTCTCTGCAAATTGATCTATGGATTGAACATAATCAAAACCATAGCAGGTTGTTTAAAATATAAATTGAAAATCTGATTTCAAGATTTATATAGAAATGCAAAACAACTAGTCAAACAATTTTGAAAAAAATTGAAAGAGTAACATCACCTGATTTTAAGACTTACTTTAAAAGTATGGTAATCAAGACACTGTGATATTGAAGTCAAAATAGACAAAAGACCAACAGAGCAGATAAAGAGTATCCAGAAACAGACCCATACATATACGGATAATTAACTTTCAGTAAAGGAACAAAGTCAATAAAGTAGAAAAAGGGTAGTATTTTTCACAAATGGTGCTTGGACAACTCTATACCCATATACAAAAAAAAAAAAGAACTCCAACCATACTTGTACCATATACAAAAATTAACTCAAAATGGAATCATGGCCTAAATGTAAACCTAAATGCTTAAAAATTCTAGAAGACTACATAGGTGAAAACCTTTGTGATTTGGGTTACCAAAAGCAATTTCCAAGATGGAACAAATTGATAAACTGGACTATATCAAAATAAAAAATGTCTGCTCTTCAAAAGGCCCTGTTAAGATAATGAAGAGACAAGTCAAGGACTAAGAAAATATTTACAAAGTATGCATACGACAGTTAACTTGTATTCAGAATCTATGAAGAACTTTCAAATCTCAATAATAACATAAAAACAAAGAAAAAATGGGAAAAAGAAACAGACACTATATCAAAGCAGATATATGGATGACAAATAAGACACAAAAAGAGGCACACTAGGGAAATGTGATTTAAAATATAATGAAATACTACTACACACCAATTAGGAGGGATAAAATTTAAAAGACTGACCATTCCAAGCATTGGCAAAAATATGGGAGAACTAAATACCTCTTATATTGTAGGTGGGAATGTAAAACGGCACAATTATTTTTTTAAAGTTTGGCAGGACCTTCAAAAATTAAACACATACCTATTGTATGATCCAGAGACTCCACACTTAGGTATTTATCCAAGGAAATTTAAGTCTAGGATCATTAAAAGACAGTATACATATGTTCATAGCAGCTTTTCTTATAATGAAGCCAAAAAGTTGAAGCAGTGCAAATGCCCATTTACACTGTGAATGGAAGTGAATGGAAACAATCTGTGGTATCCACACAATGGAATTTTCTATAGCAATATAAAGGAATGAACAAACTATTGATAACACAGTACATCATGGATATATCTCCAAATCCTTACACTGAGTGAAAAAGCCAGACCAAAACAGAGTATATACTGTTTGATTCCATTTATGTAAAACTCTAGAAGATAACAAATGTGTTCTGATGACAGAACACAAATCAGAGGTTGCCTGGAGATAAGATGAGGGGAAGTAAGGAGGGATTACCAAGGGCACAAAGAAACTTTGAGAGTGATGAATATGCTTATTATCTTAATTATAGTGATGCCTTCTGAGGTATGTATGTATCTATACACATATGTCAAAAAATTTCAAACTATATACTTCATATGTGTGCAACTTACCCTATGTCAATTATATCTCAATGAAGCTTTTTGAAAAATTCTAGGGAAAGCAAAGCAAAGTCAATACAAAGTAAGAATAGGATATTCTTAGGATATTCAATATCCTAAGAATAGGATATTGAAAAAGGCAAGAGATAAAATTGATAAAAAGGAAACAGAGTAGAAAGGAGAAATAAAACCCCAAACTGGTTCTTTGAAATAAAAAATACATGTGACATATATTGATTAAAGGAATAAGAAAGAAATTTAAAATACACAACTTTAAAATAAAAAAAGGAGCTAATACAACAGACATGAAAGAGAGTAACAGATTTATAAAGGAAGTTCCACTTCTAGTGATAGCAAGCCAGGTAATAGCAGCCAACTGAACAAACACAAAGGCTGGGTAAAATATCTGCTGTACTGCCTCAGAGGGCGTTCAAGAGAACTTCTGGACCCAAGATCCAGGAGAAGACAGAAACCTGAGTTAAAAACTAGCATTTGGGACTGCTTCTTCCCTAAAGTGCTTCTTTCCTTAAGTGTTTGTCAATTACTGAACAGACTGCGTGGAAGCACAAGAGCCTACCAGAGCTAGAGGGGTAAACACTGGTAGCCAGAACCCCTTTCAGAAGGCAGAGGACTCACAAATCTCCCCTCCCCCTCCCCACAAAGGGCTCTTGGAATAAGCAGGAACTGAAAGTAGAGGCCGTCTCAAGGACTAGAGCCTAACTCTGAATCATCTCATCTGGGATACCGGAGTAGCAACTGCAAACTGGTAATAGCCTAGCAAACTGCCCAAAGTCACCGTATCAGTCAGGGGCCAGCCAAGAGACAAAATCACACCAGTAACTTGAAGAGGGAGAGTTGTAAGAATTGTTAAGTAAAAAGGTTGTTAACTACTGAAAGGGGTATAGAAGCAACTGCAGAAAGAAACTACTGCCTCTGGAATTTAGGGATACTAATCAGTTAAGTTACATACAAACGTGGAAAGCCTGCCTCCCCCTAGACCTCTCTGGAGAAGGCAGGGCGGCCATGGGACAGGTGGTGCTCTGGGGAAGAAAACTTGCGGGAGGCTGTGGGCTGCAGCTAGTGCACAGAAGCAGCCTATCAGTGACAGAGAAACTTGCTGGAGAGACTGGCTGGCTGCTGGGTGGCAAAAAATATGCCAGAGGGTGTAGTTGGCCCCCACAGTCAGTTCACTGGGCGGTAGGTAACCGGGCTGTCTGCAGGAGTGGTCTGCCAAGGGGCAGTAAAACTACATGGGGGGTTTGGATTTCAGCTGGTCTGTGAGGGCTGCTGAGGTGGGTGTTACTGGGTCTCCCTTTGCCAGCTGCTGTGCAGAAAATACCACCCTGGAAGCAGGAAGGGAAGCCCCTTCCTCCTGTTCTGGCCTTGCAGTGTCAACTCCAGGGTTCTCTACTGAAAAAGCCTTATATTAATCCAGGTGACAAAGGAGAAATTTCTACAGGGTCCAGTTCCAGGGAAAAGGGTACATTTGAGTTGAGAAGCAATAAACTGATAAGAAGCACAAATACTGAGTCTTCTCTATAGGGAGATAATACAATTTGAGGCCTAGGGCAATGTTAACAGTTCTTTATATACTACATTGGCAGCCAACCAAAAATAACTAGGTACAAGAGTAAATAAGACTGCATTTTAAAAAATCAAGAGAAACAGATTTAAAAATAATAATAATTTAAAAAATATGTCTGGGG